CAGTCAGCTTCCAGCAGCCAGAGAGCAAGAAAAGGGTTCACTGACCAGTGCCAGCGGTCTGCTGGTGACATCAACTTAGAACAGAGCTTACACTTTAGAACAGAGCTTTCACTTTAGAACAGAGCTTTCACTTTAGAACAGAGCTTTCACTTTAGAACAGAGCTTTCACTTTAGAACAGAGCTTTCACTTTAGAACAGAGCTTTCACTTTAGAACAGAGCTTTCACTTTAGAACAGAGCTTTCACTTCAGAACAGAGCTTTCCAAACATCAAGGACAACTTGCCAGTCAGCTTCCAACAGCCAGAGAGCAAGAAAAGGGTTCACTGACCAGTGCCAGCGGTCTGCTGGTTACATCAACTTAGAACAGAGCTTTCAAAACTGTTCATGTTGGTGACACACTTTATAAGAGATATGGACACATACATAAATTGTAACAATGAAATGTTTTCCGGCAAAACTAATCTCATAAAAACCATTTCTTCTTCTTCTTTTCCAACATTTACCTTATTGCGGTGTTGTGGGGAGATGTATGGATCGTTTGTGCATTTTTTCGAATACATTGTACAAGTGGATGTTCATTTCTATTAGGTTGTTCCTGAGGATGTCGCTCAATCTCTTGCGTGGTATTCTCTTGCTCTGTGTTCATTTTATTTCTTCAGCGTGGCTCCCTGTGGCAGTTGGTTCCAGGGCATTCTCGTCAGGTGGCCAAAACATCTCACTTGTTGTTCTTTAATGAATTGTTTGACTGGTTTCAGTCGTAGTCTTCTTCTAATTTCTTCATTCCTGATTTTATTTCTTCTTGTGATTCCGGCAGCTCTCCTAAGACATCTCATCTCTGTTGTTACAATCTTCGGCTCATTAACTGAAGTAAGGGTCCATGTTTAGCACTGGTAAAAACCTTTTTTTTTTAAAAAATGTAAAAACACATTTCCAAGATTTGTTACATTTTCTTATTCTTAGCATTCGTTCATTGGCTTTAAACTACTGAAGAAAAATCCACTTCTGGGCTTTGGTTTTGTGAGTCAGTTTATTTCAAGACTTCACTACTCTTTTTTTTTTTTTAAATCTGTCCAGAGTGTTCTCACCATTCCTCTATAAAAACATCTTTTCACTACTTCCACATAATTTTTTTTCCCCACTAACTGGCTAACTGTCCATGTTTCACTCCCATATAGCAGGAAAGGATTTATATAGCTTGAGAGAATTCTTTCTCACCTCAACTGACAGAGCAAGATCACATTCAATATTCTTCATTTTGTGAAATATTGCCTTTTCTTTGAGCTATTCTTATTCAACATTTAATTTTCAAATACACCTTCCGTCTGATTTTATCAGGGTACTCAAGTATTTCAACCTTTCAACTTGTTTGAGGATTGTCCCATTTACTACAATACTGCATTCTGGAGGGTCCATTTACAAAGCCATACACATGAACAATTATCTGTACTGAACTTATTACAACCAGAGTTATCAAATAGAGAGAGCATCAGCTGCCAATTTATTCATGTTTCCCCTGATGTTCAATACCCTGATAACAAGCTAATATTGAACAATTAAACAAGTTATCAATAACATTTAGCATAAAAGCCATGAAATTGAACAACTATATCAGCCACAATTTTTTTGTAATCATCACAAATTCCATGTAAAATAAGCAGAACTAGTCATCTTACCAATAAAATACAATCATGGCTGACAACATGAATGTTGCAGCTAGAAAACCTTCCTCAGCATACAAAACAATGGAACATTGATAGTTACATTAAAAAAATACATGAAATAGCTTTTCAGTGATGCTTAACCAAAAAAGCTGTGTTCTCACTATTCATCATCAGTTATGTAACAGAAAGGAAGTAACGCATGGAAATACTCTAAAAACTAGGCAACCAGTGTAAGGTAACCATGCAATGGATACCATACCACTGTGGAGTTCCTGGAAATGAAAGAGCTGATAAACTAGCTAAGGAAGGTGCAAATGAAGAACAATCTGATGCAGCAGTCTCATATCAACAGAAGAAGAGAATAATCAAATCAATCAGAAAGTTACCAAAACTAGCATAAGACAATTACCATATTATGGGCAGACCAGAGCAAGTCATTATACTACACCTTAGAACAGGACACAATTGACTTTGATGCCACATTTACACAAAATGAAGGATTGGTGAATCAGCCATGTGTACAATGTGGATGGGCACCTGAGACAACAGATCACGTCCTCCAAGACTGTCCAAAATACAAAACATCAAGGCAAAACTTTTGGCCAAGAGAAACACCGGGGCAAGCCAAACTTTACAGGCGCAGAGTGAATTACAACAGACGGTGAAGTTCATACTAGAGACAACATTGCAGATATAATTTATTTCAAGTGAATGAAAGCAGCAGAAGAAGAATAACCCATGAAAGGTTGGATGGGTTAGGTGCGGGTGAAAGATTAAAGTCAAGAGATGTTTTCAGTCAGGCACTCAGCTACCAATCTTCACATGATGTCACTGACTCACAAAGTCCTGATAGCTAAAAAAAAATACAACTACACGAGTTTTCAATATAACAAAGCCATAAAAGTGAAATATTATCTCTAGTAAATTTGTTCTTTTATTTTTTTTAGACAACTTATGTGAGTTTTCAATTAGGCCCCAACTATCAATCTGCATACACTGTCACAGATTCACAATATCCTGACAGACAACAAAGATTGTAACAAAAGTTGTGAACAATTACTTACATAACCAAGCCATAATCATTAACTTCTTACAAGAAATCTGAGTTTTCAGTTACGCCCTCAACCATCAATATTGACACACTTTCACTGATATGCAATGTAAGAGATGTCAACAAAGAAGACACAAACAACAGATTACACTTTTTATGCTAGGCTATTTGGCTGTCTCATGAAGTGCATACTATAGTAACAATATGTTACTGTACAGTAACTTGTTATGTTTTCCTTTCTAGTATATACTAGCTGTAAACTCTGGTGGCATATTCTGGTTGTTTGTCCATTTCTGGAACTTGAATTTTGCATGCACATCCATTTCAGAGATCTGGCTTATTTGTATGCAGACTGTTAGTTCCTCATCACTCCAGTACATGCCCTCCAACTTAGGAGGAAAGGGAGGCAGTGAGTCTATTAATTTTCTGAAAAACACCCAGGGAGTACAAAAACAATTTAAGGAACAATTTGCTACTTTAGATACAGCAAAATCTACAACAGTTATAAGACAAAGATAATGGCACTAGATATCCTGAAAATAAACGAGCAGAAAATCATCAGACAAGCACTAAAATGGAAAATAAAGACAGAGGAAGTGAGGATGTCCAAAGGAAACCATAAAGTGAATGTTGATGAAAGAGGCCAAAGATGCTGGACTGGATTCCCTCTATGATATCGAAGGGATTATAAAGGATAGAATGGAATGGAGGAATAGACTGTGAACCCTATGTGATATATTATGGCACAAAAAGACAATGATGATAATGAGGATAATGACGATTGTTTGTGTCTTCTTTGATCATCAGATTCACAACACGGAAACACTGCTTTGAACGTAACATATCACAACTGCATGAGTTACCAACAGTAAATATAACAAAGCCGTGAAAATAAAGTTATTACAAACAATACTCCCTGCGTGGGTTCTACGACCCCAACTTGGGGTAAAATAAGAACAGACCCACTGCACCCCCCCCCCCCCCAATGTCATAAAAGTCAACTAATTGGGAGGGGAATGTTTTCTTCTAACTTTGAGTGTATCTGCCTGTGAGGTAACGAACCAACAGTCTGCATACAAAAATGCCAAACGAGCAAAGCGGATATGCAAGCAAACTCTAGTTCTGCAACAAGACCACCAAAGTTTAGAAGCGGATGAACAATCAAAACTTTCCGCTGGAGTTTACAATTAGAAGAAAACCAAGATGAGCATTCAGTCAGGTCCATGCTATCACACTTCATATTCTCAGTTAGCACCTCAGCCATCAATATTCACAAATGGTCACCGACTGGCAATAACCTTATAGTGAGCTTCTTTTTCTTCTTCTTAACTCTTTGAGTCCCAGGGGGTTTAGCATCACAGGCCCAAGGGGTAGTCAAGAAAGATGTAAAATCGGCGCATCTTGCATTCATTGGGCTTCTAGGATGGAATCTATGAACGTATGATGCGTTCCTTGGGACTCAAAGAGTTAAGTGGGGACACTGGCACATTGTGTTGTGGTTTACAGCTAGATGTGACATGTGTGCAGAACATCTGATTTAAGCACAACATGCTTGATATGGGGCAGTGGGTATAACCCCCAACCCCCCCCCCCCCTTTTCCGGTGTGATAATGCACCTATTTGGGACTTTTTCTCCTGAATTTGCAGGTGTGTTGGAAAACAAACATACAGGCAGACTGGCTGATTTTGCCCATGGTGGTGAAATGATGCACAGCAAGCTAGATTTAATTACCACGTTTTGAAAGTTAGTGGTCAATGCAGATGCAGAAACGGATCACCATGGTCTAGAGAGAATGATGCAGTGAGGGGTGACCTGGCGCCCAAGTATGTAGGTGTGTTGGGAAAGAAACAAACAGTCAGGCAGACTGGCTGATGTTGCACCACATGGTCTAGAGACAATGCAGTGAGGGGTGACCAGAAGATCTGGCTGACACCCAATGCTAAGAAGAAAGGCAAGATGGACAAATAATCAGATTGTTACTGGCATCATCAGTATTGGGACTCTGTTAGCTATTGAAGATGGTGGAAGAAGCACTAATGATATGTCCTGAGTTCTGTGATACGAGATCTCAACACAACTCAATGGCTCAACAGCTAGCAAAGATATAACAATTACATGAGTGATCAACAGTTTTTAAATAACAAAGCTATACAAGAAACAAATTGCAACCAGCTTGAATCTTCACCAAGGCTCTAAGCTAAGAAATGCAACTCATTGTTGATTCAACTTCCAAGGTGGCGCAGTAATGCCCCAGATGTGATGTCAGGTTGTGGAAGGGGTCAAATCCTCAGTCTTTTTGTTTATCGGAATCACACAGCACAGCAAAGCCTTTCTTAACCAGCTCCATGCCAATATCAATGTCCTGAGGACACAAGCAAACAAATCAAATTACATTCCCATAACATTAATCATTAACCTTTTCACAAGTGTCCCATGAGTTTATGAGACAAGTCAAGAACCGACATCACAGCACTCAGGGCATTCTCATATGCACTCCGTCCCCATCCTCTGCAGCCAGTGAAGAGTTCCGATACTAATGGTGCCAGTAGCATTAAAAGTCCGTCTTGCCTTTCCTCTGAGCCTCGAGCATCTGCCAGAACCTCTCGTCACACCCCACTGCATCAATCTCATCAGACTATGGTGATCCATCTGCTCCTCTGAACTGTACACGCTCTCCCATAGGACATTAACCACGTCTGCCTTATCATGCATCAGTATTCCACCAAGTTGTGCAGAGCCAGCCAGTCTGTCCACCTGTTCATTTCCCAACAAGTGTCCCATGAAATAATTTAAAACCAGTGTTTTCCCTGTTGTCTAATGAGGTTGTCTTAAGTCATACAGATACCAAATAAAGTCATTTGGAATTTTGCCAAGACTGCAGTCTGCTTCAGTTTTTTTTTTTTTTACAAGGGACAGTGATTGACATTCTGTGAGGTTTTCACTGGAACAACTATGGGGTGATCTGTTTGCATGGTTAAAACTGTGATGAACTTATCTGGGATGCAAACCTGCATATCCAAGAGTGGTGGACCAAGATCCATGTTCATATTGGTCAAGACTGGTCTACCTTCCTCTGTAGTCAGTCAAGAAATGGGTTCCCTACTGGGGACCTGGCCACCGTACATAGGCTTGACGTTTCCAACAAAGCTGGAGCATAGATACTTGAGAGGCGAGCAATAAACAGTCTGTATACAATTAGTCAGATCTGTTTTTAAAAAAAATGGGTACACAAAACTCAAGATCTGGAACGAGTCAAAGTCCAGACACAAGATGATCTTCTTCTTCTTCTTCGCGTTCACCGGCTTTAAACTCCGGCAGAAAGTTGTGGTCATTCATCCACTCCTGGACTCTGGTCTTGATCCAAAACTTGAGTTCTGTTGGTTCCTGGCCTCTGATGCGGATACACTCCAACTTTGAAGCAAACACTCTTGAGGTCTTGCCATATACTTAAGGGAATCATGGGGGTCTTGCCATATACTCAAGGGAATCATGGGGTCTTGCCATATATTCAAGGGAATCATGGGGGTCTTGCCATTTATTCAAGGGAATCATGGAGGTCTTGCCATATATTCAAGGGAATCATGGGGGTCTTGCCATATATTCAAGGGAATCATGGGGGTCTTGCCATTTATTCAAGGGAATCATGGAGGTCTTGCCATATGCTCAAGGGAATCATGGGGGTCTTGCCATATTTTCAAGGGAATCATGGGAGTCTTGCCATATAAAGGAAATCATGGGGGTCTTGCCATATATTCAAGGGAAAAATGGGGGTCTTGCCATATATTCAAGGGAATCATGGAGGTCTTGCCATATAAAGGAAATCATGGGGGTCTTGCAATATAAAGGGAATCATGGAGGTCTTGCCATATATTCAAGGGAACCATGGGGGTCTTGCCATATACTCAAGGGAATCATGAAGGTCTTGTCATATACTCAAGGGAATCATGGAGGTCTTGCCATATAAAGGGAATCATGGGGGTCTTGCCATATACTCAAGGGAATCATGGAGGTCTTGCCATATATACTCAAGGGAATCATAGAGGTCTTGCCATATACTCAGGGAAATCATGGAGGTTTTGCCATATACTCAATGGAATCATGGAGGTCTTGCCATAAACTCAAGGGAATCATGGAGGTCTTGCCATATACTCAAGGGAATCATGGAGGTCTTGCCATATACTCAATGGAATCATGGAGGTCTTGCCATATACTCAAGGGAATCATGGAGGTCTTGCCATATACTCAAGGGGGGCACCACCTGAAAAGAAAAAGTTGGAGACACTGGCTTAGAGGTTAGTGAACTTATTTTACAATCTAAACCTCAAATTATTAGGGCTTGTTTTCCAATGTAGGGTGATTTAGAAATATAGAGTTTTTGTGGCTTTCAGGAATTGGTACTACTAGATCATCCCATGGCGGAGAGGGATTGGTACTACAAGATCACCTCATGAAGGAGAGGGATTGGTACTACTAGATCACCTCATGGATGGGAGGGATTGGTACTACTAGATCACCTCATGGAAGAGAGGGATTGGTACTACTAGATCACCTCATGGAAGGGAGGGATTGGTACTACTTGATCACCTCATGGAGGAGAGGGATTGGTACTACTAGATCACCTCATGGAGGAGAGGGATTGGTACTACTAGATCACCTCATGGAAGAGAGGGGCTGGTACTACTAGATCACTTCATGGAAGAGAGGGACTGGTACTACTAGATCACCTCATGGAAGAGAGGGACTGGTACTACTAGATCACCTCATGGAAGAGAGGGACTGGTACTTCTAGATCACCTCATGGAAGAGAGGGGCTGGTACTACTAGATCACCTCATGGAAGAGAGGGACTGGTACTACTAGATCACCTCATGGAAGAGAGGGACTGGTACTACTAGATCACCTCATGGATGAGAGGGATTGGTACTACTAGATCACCTCATGGAGGAGAGGGATTGGTACTACTAGATCACCTCATGGAAGAGAGGGACTGGTTCTACTAGATCACCTCATGGAAGAGAGGGACTGGTACTACTAGATCACCTCATGGAAGAGAGGGATTGGTACTACTAGATCACCTCATGGAGGAAAGGGATTGGTACTACTAGATCACCTCATGGAAGAGAGTGAGACCTCACCATATAACATACCCAAAGACATCAGCAGATCACTGAAGCCAACTTCTATTGTGAAGATAGCACAAAAATTAATTAACACACTTGATAATTAACTGTTTGTCCTCACCTCAGGCCCCCTTGTGTTAAACAGCTGTACAACTGGTAATTTAACATCCCCCTTCAGACACTTGTATGTCGTTACACGTGCTAGGATGGACTTCCATTTGGCACAGTAAGTTAACTCTTCAAAGCAGGCTATTGATTCCTCACTCCACTTTCCACCTGTAACGAGATCAAATGACTGATACAGCAATTGATCAATCCACTGCTTTCATCAATTCAAAACAGAGCAGGTGCAATCAAGAAGGGTAATCCAATATTATTTAAACAAAAGGACCACATGGTTCCTGTTAGGACAAAAAAAAAATCAGTTATATCCATAACAAATAACAATTCCCATATACCATCTTGAATACATCATGAATAATCTTTTACCTGTTGTCCGTTTTTCACTCTAGCACATCGGTCTGATTCGTGCTCTGCGCCCCCCCCCCCCCCCTCCCCCACACCGTTGAAGCACAGCTCTAAAAACTCTGCAATATACTGTTTGCCTCCTCATTATTTCATCCAATGTTCTGGATCCCTGTGTGGCCTCTGCGACCCTATTTGGTGGGGGGGGGGGTGGAGAGAATAGACCCACTGTCCCCTAACAGAATGTTGTAAAAGTCGACTAATTAGGGATGTCCTTTGAAGTCAGAGTACATCTGCCTGAGTGGTGAGAAACCAACAGTCAGTTTACAGCTAGTGAATGAGAAGAACAACAGAAACAGAAGATCAAATGGTTTGGTCATATAGTAAGAACGCAATCAGAACAACCACCAATGTGAGCGCTACACATGAAAAGAGGCTGTCCTAGGATAATATAGATTGATGACTTTAAAGAGCCTCTACATTGATACAGAATGATAATAGATATTGCTGCCCATCAAGCAATGAATTGCAAACTGTTCCTCTACACAATGCTTAATGGCTGAAGTGGAAATTGATAATGATGATGATAAACGAGAACAAGAAAGATTGTGGAAAGAATGCGAATCAAAAGAGAGTTACTAAGAGATATAAAATAAAAAGAGAGACAACTAAAATATTTTGGCTACATTAAAAGAAATAAAACTCTTTCAGAAGGAAAAGTCAAAGGTAAGAGCAAGAGGTAGACAATGATACAAGTGTGAGGACAACACCAAGTGATAGATCAACAGCAGTCTGAGAAAGTATACTACCAAGACAAGAGACAGAGCATGTTGGAGATTCATTGCAGCCAACCTTCACCTGATTGATTGATTAATGGGCATCTTCTTTTTTTATACCTCCGTCAAAGGAGTGAGACAGCATCATACCTGAATATCCATAGGTTACAGAAATTTATATTAACGAAGCAAAATGTCGAATAACAATCATAGCAACAATTTACGAACACAGTAGACCTTATTGCCTTGTCTAGAATACACAAACATTAAGAAAGGTATTTGATTGGTAGGTTCCGGTGTGTATACGTCATTCCTATAAATAAACAGAGAGGGGAACCATTTGAGGCCGTTAAATATTATGATTTAATCAAGTATTGTGAACGGCACTCATAGAAAGAAGTAGAAAGATAGAAGAACACACTAGACAACATAAAAATGAACAATAATTTGTGCTGGACTCTAAACATGTAAACTGGGAATGAGGCAATTTTTCATAGAGTGTATTATTATTGACGTGTTATATAAATGGTATACCAGAATACAAAATAAAAGAATAAGAAGACAGGCTGTGGAATAAAACATAAATAAAGGAATGGAAACTGTCGCATTAATATAAATAATAGTAAAGGTAATAATAATAGTGAAGGTAATAATAATAGTGAAGGTAATAATAATAGTGAAGGTAATAATAATAGTAAAGGTAATAATAATAGTGAAGGTAATAATAATAGTGAAAGTAATAATAATAGTGAAGGTAATAATAATAGTGAAGGTAATAATAATAGTAAAGGTAATAATAATAGTGAAGGTAATAATAATAGTAAAGGTAACAATAATAGTGAAGGTAATAATAATAGTAATGGTAACAGTAATAATAGTAATGGTAACAGTAATAATAGTAATGGTAACAGTAATAATAGTAATGGTAACAGTAATAATAGTAATGGTAACAGTAATAATAGTAATGGTAACAGTAATAATAGTAATGGTAAAAGTAATAATGGAAGGCAGGAGGAATAAATTATCACAGCTGTAGAAAAGTTGTAAACAGTAAAAAAAAAAGGAAAGGACCCTTCTCCACACCTTTAGGAATATAGGGCATATAGGGCTAGACCTATATTTTATAGACCAATCGGCACAAGGTGGGTGATGTGGTCAGGAGTATAATGCCGGCCACCTTTACTTCCCAGAACTGCACCCGGTACCCATTCAAGGCTGGGACGACCTGGGAGCCAAGGTCATTTTTTGGAAAAAGTCCAGCTCCGCCAGGGAGCAAACCCAAGACCTTCCGCTCTGCCACGGCGACTCCTCGAAGTTGTAAAAAAAAAAATTACATATAAATATAATAACATTGTTTAGATGAGGGTATCTTCTGCTTCTTCTTCACTTCCTCTTTTACTGCTTCTGTTGTCCAGGGAGGTATAAGTTAATGAATAAAGGCATGCTGAACAATAATTACTGCAGGGCTGAGAACACCTGAACTGTAGATGATGTGATTTTTCCAAAAAGAATAGCATGGTCCGATCACCAGAGCTAAAGGTGTTATGGCTACTTTATCCCCCATGCAAGCTTGTAGCCACAAAATTAAATAATGATGAACAAACCTTCTGTATGAAGAGGGAAAGAAGACAAATATATTACATACCAACAGGTTCCACATTCGCTAGCATGCATTCAACAGCTTGAAATGGAAAGCTGCCAAAATCAGATCTGCAGACAAAAGATGTTATATCCATTATAAATAACAATTCTCATACACCATATCGAATACATCATGAATAATCTGTTAACTGTTACTCGTTGTTCGTATCCACATCCTAGCACATCAGTCTGACCCATTCGTGCTCTGTCCCCTGATGCAGCAGCAATATCAGTGTCTCCATGCTCAACGTACCCGGTAGGAGTTGACTGGCATCTCTTCTTTCTTCACTCTGCAAGCAGTTTCTATACATGCTCGTCATCATTCAATACCATCATTTACACAGACAGTTCAGTGTCAAGAGGCAAAAGAAGTGCTTGGGGCTTCTTAGCAAAAGTTAATGGTCGACGTTTGGTGCAGGAGAGCCTAGCATATGATATCACATCCAGCTTAAGAATGGAGGTGGAGGCGGTCACTGCAGCTTTTTGCTGGCTAGAGAACATGACACACACACACATCGTGATTGTAACTGATTCAGAAAGCATGCTGAGGAAGATCAGAACAGGTATGCTTCGTGCAGAGTGGCATGCTTTGCTGCGGAGGACACGGGTGAGGAGTATTGTCTGGATTTTTTCACGGACGGTACGCCAGTGTGTTGGGGAATGAACAGGCGGACAGACTGGCTGGCTCTGCATAACTTGGTGGAATACTGATACATGATAAGGCAGACGTGGTCAGTGCCTTGTGGGAGAGCGTGTACAGTTCGGAGGAGTAGATGGATCACCAGTCTGGTGAGATTGATGCAGTTGGGAGTGACAAAAGGTTCTGGCAGCTGCTCGAGGCTCAAAGGAAAGGCAAGACGGGCGTTTAATCAAAATGCTACTGGCACCATTAGTATCGGAACTCTTCGCTAGCTGCTAAAAATGGGGACGGAGCGCTTATCTGAAGGCCCCGAGTGCTGTGATGTCGGTTCTTGAATCAAATCATTCAATACCCATTTCTAATAGGTAGTTCATTGTCTCTAACTCCTTTGTCTTAAAGTCTCTAGAATGCAGCCCATCAGTATGTCTATCCTATCTATTTCTTATTTATTATTACTTAATGCAGTGTTTCCCAAACCTTTATTAGTCGCAGCACCTTTTTTAAATTGAAATTTTTCCACGCCGCCCTAACCAAAGTAAAAGTATGACTATTCGTATGTAAGAGGTTTTTAAAAAAAAAAACTGTGTATCTTCAAATATTTGGTGGTGCCCCTGTGAAGAGAACACGGCCCACAGTTTGGGAACCACTGACTTAATGTAATCATGTCAAGTAATAATTTTGTACACCACAGATTTAAAACACGTGCGACAGACACACTCTCTACATGCAGCAGAGAGATCCAAGGTTTGGCCAGTTGGCATCCCAATGGAAACCAAGCCGTGTGGAACTTTGGGAGACATGTGTCACAACACAGACTTCATAGAGGCCAGTGGCCTTCTAATCTGAAAATCACTGGCAGGGAGAACAAACAGAATAAGACACCACCTTGAGAGAACCACAAGGTGTTTGGCGATGAGATAATCAACCTGACTGCATCAGATTTGATCCAATTTGGCTCAGTCTGCCTTTGCAAAATGGGAAACCACTTCCAAAATCACTGCACAAAGCAGGAACTCCACAGCTCTAGTCTTCTTCTTCTTCATGTTCACTTGCTGATTTGAGTCAAGAATTACCATCACAGCACTCGGGGCATTCCCATGTGTGCTCTGTCCTCATCTTCAGCAGCCAGCTCAGAGTTCCAATACTGATGGTAGCTGTAAACTCCGGCTTAAAGTTCTAGTTGTTTGTCTACCTCTGGACTTTAGTCTTGTACCAGAACCTAAGTGTTATGTGCACATCCGTTTAACAGATCTGACTTAATTGTATGCAGATTGTTGGTTCCTTCCCTCTCAGGCAGATGAACTCCAACTTTGAAGAAAGCCCCCAACTAGTTTACTCATATGGCATGCTTGTTGGGGAGGCAGTGGGTCTGTTCTTGTTTTCCCCACAATGGGGCTCCAGAACCCACATGGAAACATCTCTAGTGACAAACTCCAAGAATCAGTGACAAAAATGCACTTGTGAACCAAATGACAAAGCCTGAAAACAAACCAACGACCTCCAGAAAGCATAGCAAACAGTGCCTGACTCAGCTGACCTCATTCAGTCCCAAACAACTGGCGAATCAGCTATGTGTATATTTGGTTAGCACCTGAGACAATAGATCAGCACCTGAGACAGCTGATCACATCCTCTAAGACTGTCCCAAAATACAAAATATCAAGGCAAAACTTTTGGCCAAGAGAAACACCGGTACAAGCCAAACTTTACAGGTCGCTGAGTGAATTACAACAGACAGTGAAGTTTATACTAGAGACAACATTGCAAATATAGATAGAATAAGAAGTCCCAAACAACGCATAGTGTGTGATGGGATTATATTTGTGGGTCACATTCAACAAACAACATGTTAAATACAATGTTTTTCCCTAATGAATCTAAATAATGCGGACACAATACATTGCACAATTTATTGCCAGGCATATTTCGCTGTATCTCCTCAGGTGCGTTACATCAACATAAAATGAAGCACAGAACTGAATAAACCCAGCTGAAATGTGAATAGTTTCTTTCGATGCACATGGTTTGTTTAGTTGTCGAAAGTTCATCGTAGTCATGTGACTTACCAGGTTAAATTCAAATTTACTATAAATTCTGTCGATTACAAAGGAGGAGGTTTTTAATTGTAATTGTTAAAGCTTCGACCATTCTCAGCAGTCGCCTGTTCAGTGTGTGATAAACCACATGAAAAGCAGTGTCTTTGTCAATTACGTGTCCGGAACTAAGCAAATGACGTCCTATGGAAGAAGTGGGTTCCTTGCTTTTGACTGGTCTCGACACCCTTGAAGAATCCCTTAAATATATTTGTAGCCATTTGATTATGTGCTCTGCCACTCTACTTCCAAGCTGTCTCTCCATTCGACCAATGTAAGTCAACTGGCATTTACACATAAATTGATAAATACAACTGGCTTTGGTGTATGGCGACTAGACGAACCGTGATGCATCAAAAGAAACTATTAAAATTTCTGCTGGATTCATTCAGGTTTGTGCTTCATTTTAAGTTGATGTAACTCTGCAGTATTGCACCTGAGGAGATACAGCGAAATATGCCTAGCAATTAATTGTGCAATGTATTGTTTGTGTCCGCATTATTTGAACAATATGTTATTATTGACATTTTACATTTGGTCAAGCCATACTCCACAAATCTAGCCAACCAAGTGGTCACTCCACTGTTTCATCTCTGTCTAGTGTCATAATATTTGTCCCACTTGGAGATCTGATGTCAAATCTTCTGATGGTACCAAAAGAGTTAAAATGGGTACCAGGAAAATTTATGGGAAGTAAAGGCAGCTGACATGTTAATTACATCCCCCTCTAGTGCTGATTCTTTTTCTGCCTTTCTATCCCCCAATGGAGCATAGGCCCTCAACCCACGCCAAGTCCTTCTATATTTTGCTATTTCATGCAGCTCTCCCCATCTTTCTAACTTTATTCTCTATTCCCATGCCCCTGTGGCTTCCAGTGCAAAGACATTCTATTTATATTGTTCTCTGGTTTTCTCAAAGTGTCCTATCCAACACCAGCATCTTTTCTTTACCTCTTGGTCCACTGGAGCTTGCTTAGTTCTCTCCATAAGCTCTACATTTCTAGTGCCGATTGGTCTAATGTGGGTCTATACCACATGCCTGATGAGGCCAATGTAACGAAAAAGATCCTTTACTTATTTACTGACTACGAAAAAAAGAAATCCTATAAAATAACAGAAGCAGTCCTTCAAGGAGCATCTGAAAACTATTAACTGATTGGAGAAGTTAGGCATAGGCAGATTAGAGATTGAGTGGCGTGGTATGAATAGAAAAATGAACAAGAAAACAGGGTGACAACTGGCAGACTTGGTGGAAAAAAAGAGCAAAGGGAAGGCACTGTGATAATGCTTGGATGGCTTGACCCTATGGTCAAAACCAAAGACCTGATCCAAAACCTGAGTCTAAATATATCTTCTTTGTCTACAGATCCCTTCTTTATCTTTTTCTCTCTCCCTCAATTTACCCCAAAGAAGTGTTGGGGAAAGGTGGGGGAAGGGGGGGGGGGGGGGGGGGAGATGTTATAAGGATCTTCTGTGTACTTTTTTAAATGCAACATAAACTTCATTTATTTAATTCTATTGCCCCAAGAATGGTTTAAAAAAAAAAAGAGGGAGGGATGAAATTCTCTGAAAAAACCCTTTAAAAAAAAATCATTTTACATGGGTCAGTAATCATTCTTTTTTTTATTTATTTTATCTACCCTTGAAAACAATTTTTGTTTTAAACAGTATAAAGATATTTAAGGGGTAATTAATAAACATGAACAGAGCGAAACATTAATGGAACAAATTCCCCTGGGACTTATGTTGTTCGTTCATCACGAGTGATAAAGACCAACTTTCATCCAAAGCAGTAATGATCAATGATTATGAGCACGAAGATGGCTGATTAGTCCAATGTGAGCCTGGAAAGTTCTTCACCAGTGCAGACAACAGATGGAAGCCGCAGTAAGTGTGGGATTAGCAGTATGATTCTTTCTAGTCTGCCTCCCTTTCTCTGCCTGTGCAACCTCCGCTGCCTGGCAGGCCGATGCATCATGTCTGAGGAACGTACGCCATTCAGAACGGTCTTGTGCAGCAGCCTTCCATGTCGCTGTGTTGATGCCAAAAGAATTGAGAGCAGTCTTCAGGGTGTCCTTATAGCACTCTTTCTGTCCTCCCTGGCACCTCTTCCCTTGCTAGGGTTTAAAAAACAAACAAAATATCAAGTGACTCATGCCATGACCCTGTGACCTCTATCATTGAGGCTAACAGGAAAATCTGACATCAACATAGCTGTTGAAAGTCATAAGGAACCCCCTCTAATTGCTATGTTTAGTTACTATATTATATCCTAGTGTATTAAACACTGCACAGTCGCCTGTTAGAACCAACGGCATGTACTACACTTTCTGAGAACAGGTCACTGCAGAAATAGTCATTTATCAAAAGTGACTAAATATAGCCTTCTCGGTATTAAAGGGTTATGGCTGTTCTTGAACCTGTCGTTCCATCATTTTGCATTTATCCTTCCCTTGCTGTGTTCATTACATTTCCATAGCACGACCCTGGGTGGCAGCAGGTCCCAGGTCAACAGAGCCCACAATGAGAACAAAATAACTCACCTCAGTCTAAATATCGTCTCTTTGTCAGCATATGCATTGTCTCCAAAATCCACAAAATACAGATCCACTTTGCCATCTGGAGTTTCTCCAAGAATTTTGGCACGATAATATGTCCCATCGTTCTCCTCATATCTGGCAGCAACTAATTCTCCAGGGTTGACCTCCTTGACTGCAAAGTTCTAAGATGAAAAGACAAAATGTTGTTTCTGAAGAAAGAAAACTACTGAACCAAAGTGTGTTAAGTACAATAGTACCTCGGAATTTGAACTTAATCCGTTGTAAAATGGCGTCAGAATTACAAGGCAATGTTTCCCACTGAAAATAGTGCAAACTAAATGAATTTGTTCCAGGGTCCAACAACAGGAAATTTTAACATATATTTTCCTAAATTCAGTACACTGTATATATAGTGACACATGATGATTGTAATGTGTCAAAGTGTATACCGTCATGAGAGTTAAGTAAAAAAGTAAAGGACCCTTTTCCACGCCTTAGGCGTATAGGGCATATAGGGTAGACCTATATTTTATAGACTGATGGCACAAGATGGGTGATGTGGTCACCAGGATAAAAACAGAATAACACTGGGAAAAGTGGCCAGACAGTATAGATGTGAGAAGCATGGGGAATCTGGTAAGGAGTTAACTGTTGTACGGAAGTCCCCTTAGGAATATGTCAGCTTTCAAAGCTTTTAACAGAGGACCAACAAGGCTCTTTTTGTGAGAGAAAGTATCTGTGAGAGAAAGTATGTGTGAGAGAAAGACCAGTATTTAAGTGCAGCAATTATACCAGTATCTGTGTGTCAAGAGATTCGCCCAACTGTGGCTTTCTGGGAAATCTGCAAGTGTGCTGTGAATTGAAAAGTTAAACTATGTCAGCTTGTGTGCGAGTACTTGTGTATAATTGGGAATGAATTCAGTTGTAAGTACAGTTTTTATGTCTGCTATTAGGAAGCAGAACTGGTCTTGCAGTGGATACCAGCGCCACTGTGGTATTCAAGGAAATGAGAGAGTAGATTAGTTGGCAAAAGCTGGGAGTAATCTTCCACAACCTCATCCACCACACAGCTACAAGGAAACCAAAACAGCGCTAAAGCAGTCTTTGAAGCGGGAGTGGAGAAAGCAGAATGGAGACTACAGACCAGTGAGTGACAGCATAAACAAACTCAACAGGAAAGAACAAACATAAATTTTTAGACTTCGGACAGGACACTGTGGTCTTCGAGCACACCTGTACAGGATAGGCCTAAATGAATCTGCTGCCTGTGATTGTGGAGCAGAAAAACGGACCCCTGAGCACATACTGCAGTACTGCTCCAGCCTCTCCCAGCAAAGACTGTGGATCTGGCCCAAGGGAGCCACATTGCAAGAGAAGCTATGGGGGACCGGTGGCGACCTTAAACGCACAATCCTATTTGTGACCCAGACGGGACTCAATGTTTAGCATGACTGATGTCGAACGCAGAAGAAGAAGAAGAAAAATGTCTGCTACAAGATGATAATGATGATGATAAGGAGGCTCCAGCTCCTAATCATATGCAAACAAAAATTACCTGGGTACTTTACTCTATTGTTGACAAGTACATCTAAATAAACAAATTCTGGAGCCCAGATTTTCTACAGTGCATTAAAGATTCCAATTCTTGCCCAAAGGAGTAGTGGCAGCTGCCAGTCTATCTGCCTGCTCCTGGCCCTACACATCTGGAATTTGTAGAATCCATGATGTAACTCTGATCTGAATACAAGCCCATTCCTCATGTAACATCAATCAATCAGGTGGCATTTCTCCATAGCAAAGGTTGGCTCCAATGGATCTCCAACACTCTCTGTTTCTTGTCTTGGTTGTACACTCTCTCATACTGCTGTTTGTACATCTCTTGATGGTGTCCTCCCACTTGAATTGTTGTCTACCTCTTGCTCTCTTGCCTTAGACTTTTCCCTCCAGTATGGTTTTTCAAAGACTGTCATCACTGTTAATGGGGCCGAAATATTTCAATTCTCTCTCTCTTTTCCAGCAACTCTCTCTACATTTCCAGTCTCTTCAGAACATCTGTTTTAACCCCCCTTCCCCCCTGGCAGCCTGGAGAGGAAAAACAGCATGAAACAATACAGATCTGACTGATTACCAGCTTAGCATCATCCGAGCAGGCAAAGTTTGTCATGTCATTCTGCAGCTGCTCCAGCTGAAGTGCTTTAGTACCAATCATCTGCACCCAAAAGTGCCCAGGGTGCTCCACAGCTGACACGTACACTTCAACGTACACATCCTGGGGACAAGGTTTGACAAAATGCACTAAGGGACCTCAATCTCAGCTGAAATATATACACACAATATCAAGCCACAGAAGCCAGCTGCAGGCTTCGGAAATGAGATACCTGAGAAAGGTGGTCCAAGTGACAAGAAGGGACAAAGTTTGCAATCAGACAATACGTCAGGATCTTGATACCCAGCCCTTACTAACCCGAGTAGATCAGTCACAGTTACGATGGTTTGGACATGTATGCAGAATGGGAGAAAATCGGCCACCATGGCAGGCATGGGAGGCTAAGAACCAGGGAACCAGACCTCCAGGACGACCCAGGGTGCGCTGGGAAGACAACATCCGACAGTCCCTAACTGACAAAGGACTGGAATGGAACAAAGCCAGAAAGAAAACTGCTGATAGAGACGTTTGGCGATCTCTCTGGCAAACCTCTACACCCCAAGTTAGAAGAGGAGCGACTAAGTAAGTAAGTAAGTAATATCAAGCCCCTGAGATGAAACAGCAAGGAAATCAAAGTCACAGTTTTCAGAGCATGGATTTTACCTGTAGCAACATAAGGGATGAGAATCACTGTCTATCCTGCCGTCATTAAGGGAAAAAAAATAGGAATTTTTGAGCTGAAATGTTTTGGAAAGATTCTTAGAATACCATGGACAAAGAAGAAAAGAAACATTAACATAATAAAAGGTCTGAAAATCAAGGAGGACTGGTTAGTTGGACTAGCATCATTTGAGTGAAGTTCAACTCCTCCAGGATCGCACAACGAGCGAGCCACAAACACCTGGTGACACAAAGTGCCACCATTTGGATGAGAACCACTTGTCCAAGAAACCCCGTTCAACCATTAGGTTATATGAGATCCCCTGACAACAGCCAGGGTGGGAATTAACATAAAAACAAAAACTGAGTCCCTCATTGGGACTGTATGAACAGCATTGTTTCTCAGAAGTTAAAATGTTTGACCATGTCGAGCACCACAGCAGAGTGGAAACGTTAGTGGCAGAAGGTATGGCAGGATAAAAAAGGTTCAGGGCCGACCAGAAAGATGAGCATAGGATAGTTTCTTCTTTATCTTTTGCGTTCATCCGAAGATGTAATTAAGTTGTGTCCGTTTACAGCATGGGCTGCGATATTTGCACCTTTCGGCCAATACATCCGACTTTTGCGGGCATTTGTTGATCAGGTTAGCCTTCCCAACGGCATAGGATATAAGAGATAACTTGGGTAGGAAAGTGAATGAGGCAGGAGATCTTTCAGGGCAGACTGCGATAATAGCGATGTTCTGCTAAGGACCTGCTACAAGACGATGATGATGATGAGAAGCAGGATTCAGCCAGCTCCTAATCCTATCTTGGTAATCTTAGTTTCAGCTTCATAGCAAATGAGTCAACTCAGTTGCTTTGCTCCTGTGCCAACGAAAAACACACAGACTGTTTACCACAGTCCCATGTGGAAAGATTGACAGACTGCTGTCTCAGCATATGCACTAGCATACATACGCATTAAAGCATACGGTAGCCATCAGAAGTGCTAACACAAACAGTTTGACATTAGAAATGCAGTTCATCATCGAGGGTAGCAGAAGTCGCCAACAGATCAGCAGTTGCGCACGCAATCAATATTAATCACATAAGGGCACCACCAATATTGCGGGAACAGGGCACACACCATTTTCTGAATCTACAGGTCACAACACCACGTTGGTCACAGTCGAAAAACATTCCAAATGAAATCCGCAGCTCACAGGGTCGTGCCATGCACTCAACTCAGTAGCTGGTAGAAAGAAACTGTATCCTTTCGGTCTACAAAATCTCCTTATCCTATGCAAACAAAAATGAGCTTGGTACTCTACTGTTGACAAGTACACCTAAACGTACAAAATTCTGGAGCCAAGATTTCCTACAGTGCACTAAAGATTCCAAATCTCAGCTGAAACATATAAGTGCAGTATCATCCCAATCATCTTCCCTATGCAGGTTCCAGGGCCTTATTCTGGGGTTCAAACAAATGAATACAACCACTGCCTTATAACAAGCATGTCATAAAAGGTGACTTCCCTGTGTGGGTGCCGGGTCCAAAGCCCCACTGTGGGGCAAACAAGACTGGACCCACTGCCTCCCCATCAAGCATGTCATAAGAGTCGACTAATTGGGGACTTTCTTTGAAGTCAAAGTGCATCTGAGAGGCAAGGAACCAACAATCTGCATTCAAATAAGCCAGATCTGTAAAACGGATGTGCATGCAACACTCAAATTCTAGAAAAAGAATAAAAATTGGACGAACAACCAGAACTGTCCGCCGGAGTTTACACTGAAGTGAAGATGATAAAAGGTGAATAATTAGGGATTTGCTGAAATCCGATGTGTTGGGCCTAAAGGTGCAGATAATTACAGCCTAGCTGTAAACTGCAACACAATGTGCCACCACCCCTTTAAAGGTGAATGCAATAGAAGATCCAAAACGCCCAGAAATGTACAAGCTGCTCCCCTACGTTCAATATCATCATCATCATCATGTGCCCTGCCAGACGATGAAGGTACCCAAGTCTCTCTGCAGATCCCCATCCCTGGTATTCTGAATCAATTCCATTTATGATATTCCTCCATGCCATCGCTTCATGCTGTCAAGCCTCATTTCTCTAGGTCTACCTCTTCTACCAATAAACATTCCAGTTGTGTTCTCCAATTCCTTTTTCTCATCAGATGACCGAAGAGCACTGCCTCTTTCTTACAGGTCTTATATAGTTTTCTAACTTCCTTAACCACTTCTATGGAGTCGTTAGTTACTCTGCACTGCCCACAGTATTCCTATAGAAATCTCAGAAGACAAATCTACACTGCCTCAAGTGTTCACTTTCCAACATTCAGAGCTATACAAAAGCACTGGTTCAACAAAAAATTGCAGTGCATTTTTAAAATCTTCTTCTTCTTCGTTTTCACCGGCTGTTAACTCCGGTAGAAAGTTCTGGCTGTTCGCTTACTTCTGGACTCTAGTCCTTGTTCCAGAATGTTGCGAGCACATTCACTTCACAAGTCTGACTCATATGCACACAGACTGATGGTTCCTTGCCTCTCAGACAGATGTACTCCGACTTCGAAGGAAGTTCCCAATTAGTCGACTCTTAGTCTATTCTTGTTTTCTCCACAACGGGTCTCTGGACTCACACAGGAAATTTTCCTTATGTTTCATGAGAGAGACAAGTTTCATATAGCTGCTGACATATACACTTAAATGAACAAATCCTGAAGACTAGATACTGCACTACAAGAGTTAAACATGCAGCTGAAAACATGGCTTCTTCTTCAATCCTTCTGTCAGAAAAATTGACACCAGAAGGCCATTAGCTTAGGTAAGGGCTATCATACAGTCCAGTTCTTCCTACGAACAGTACAGTTTTGTTTTGACTGAGGTTGGTTACAGGACAGATTGCTTCTCTGTTAAGTATATGCTTGGTATTTTCAAGTTCCAAGTTGCAGGGATGTTTCCTGCATCGAAAACTTGAAAATACGCTGGTGAAGTCTGAATATGATACACGACAGTAATGCATGTTTAAAATATCAGGAAAACAGCTGATAAAATTTGATGGGTTTTCTGACAAGTTGTCTTCCCCTTGACAGTCATATCAGTAGTAGCCACCAACAGGGCCTCCCTAGATGGATAGGTTAAAGGTTAAAGGGTAGATAACAGACAAAAAGAAACACCCTGGTCCTCCAAGTTGGAGGGTGAGGCATGGGGCTGACACCTCCCACCTTTGTAAACTCATTTTGTCACCAGATATCTAAACCTCGAATTTGGATGGCCTAAAACAGACAGCAATCCTACTCAGAGATGAATAGAGGCTGGCGATTTATGCAGTAATGAACCTAAAAGGCCCAGAATGTTGAAGAAGAAGAAGGATGAGGAAGAAGAATAGCAAAAGAAAAAATAGGATGAAAAGCAATAAAGAGAAATAAGACCTCAGTGGGGATTGAAACCTATGACTACAGGGCTGGAAGACCAGCATATTAGCCAATGCACGACTGTTGCTACTGAGAATGAAATATCATGCTTTTTTCTTAAGTTTGTACAAAACAATCAAAAATACTTACATTCAGAAGACTTTCCTGACAAGACACACAACCACTGCTTGGTATATCCCAGTTTTCGTCTTTCCGAGCCACTGCACACACACAAAATTAATCAAGATAAACACATATCTCAATGCTGTGTGGACTAGACTGATGGATAATGGCGTTTCTGATGCTAACCCTACTAGGTAACCTGGGAGTAAAGCCTGGCGAAGTATGTTTACGTCTTACTTTTTAGATCAAGATAGGAATCATTATAAGCAACACCCCGTGTGGGTTCCTGGGCCCTATTATAGGGAAAACAAGAATAGACCCACTGCCTACCCAAAAAGCATGTCGTAAGAGCCGACTAATTGGGAGCTTCCTTCTAAGTCGGAAGGCATCTGCCTTAGAGGCAAGGAACCAGCAGTCTGCATACAAATAAGTCAGATCTGTAAAATGGATGCACACGCAACACTCAAGTTCTGGAACAGGACTGCAGTCCAGAAGTGGATGAACAACCAGAACTTTCCACCGAAGTTTACAGCTGGTGAACACGAAGAAGAAGAAGAAGATTATAAGCAACTTTGTAAGGGACCAGTGAGCAGTGGGATGGTTGCTGCATCAAAAGACTTAGAACTATGGGAATTCCCAATGTGTAGTGCCACAGTCATGATAACAAAGCATAATTTCAAGCATCTTGCATTGAATAAATACTGTGCATGTATTTCTAATAGGAATAATATGCTGTCTCTCTTTGTCAATTGAGATGAGAAAGAGAATTCTCAAGAGCTATTTAAATCTATTTCTGATATATGAAAGTTAATCATGGACAATTGGATGTTAAGTAAAAAATAATTTGGAAGCAGTACGGATGTGATTTTATACATGCATTAAGAGAATACCCTGCACAGATAAAATAAAAATGAAGATGTCTTGAAAGACTAAGAGAACTGACTGCCCACAACAGAAAAAAACAGTCTACATTCTTCCACATCAGAAAGAAACAATCTACATTCTTTGGCCATGTCAGGAGAAGGAGAAAACTGAAACATAACATGATGATGGAAACCTTAGTTAGTTAGTTAGTTGGGTTATCCTCATTGCACTCCAGACATGTCCATAGGTGCTCAGATCCTCCCCTCAGTATGAACTCCAATGTCCGATGGCTAATAGTACCAGTTCTATGTTGATTAACAAGTCTTCTGGCGTGTCTGGTGTGCTTCTCGTGTTTTGCTATGCCGATGGGAACGTTGCAGGGGAGAAGTAGTAGAGGAAAACTGAAAGAGAAGCTGCTGGACAGTGTGCTATCCTGGCATGTAAAATATCTGTGTCAGAACTGACTAAAGTATGAGACAGAGGGTTGTGGATCGACATGACTACCAACACTCCAAGACATGGACTATAAGAAAAATTCCAATAAAACTAAATAATTTATACATAAATATCATTCGGTTTCTTGAAAGATCTCTGAAAGACCGAGCCTTAATTCTTGAGTCTGATGTGTTAAAAGAAACTTTTATTTTAAGGTATGTTAAATGAGTACTGTGTGAGTATTTCTAATACAACAAAATAATGTACATAAATCCATTAAGATCAGTCTCTTGATCAGAAGACCTCTGCAAAACAGAGTAAAAATTCTGGAGAATGATGTGTTGACATTCAGTTTGCTGGAGGCTGGGCTGGTGCAGATTCTTCTACTGACCTGGTCCAGAAATTCAATCTCCATGAGAACTGGCACAAAGCTACCATTTCCTTCACAAACAGGGTAGCAGGAATCATTGTGATGTTCAGCCTTGATGCTTGTAATTCACATCTGCAGAAAGGCACTGCCTCATCAGAACCATAGAAGGTTAACTCTACCACCCAGACAAGCTGCAAACTGTCTCATTTCCTTCAATGTGGCCTGCTGCCACAAAACTGGTGGTGCTTAATGCAATACAGGGCATGCAACTGCTGATTTGCTGTAATGCTGCTTCCATCGATGATGAGCTACAATCCCTGTTTGTCTTGGCACTTCTAATGATGACCTCATGCAGTTAATGCATGTGTATGCAGATGGCTTTGCAGAGACTGCAGTCTGTTTCAGTTTTTTCCCAAGAACATTCTGTGTGATTCTCACTGGCACAGGAACACAGCAACTATGAGGTGACCCACTTCCTGTGAAGTTAGAACAGTATCAGTTCAGTTCTCGTTATGCCTAGTGGCACATGAGGCTTCAGAGAGGACTTTCCATGTTTTCCTGTTCTGTGCAATCTACAGTGTAGTTTTCCATGTCAAAGATGCCGCACTCAGGTCACTTTCCATCGTTCGTCTCCATGTTGTTTTTGGGTGCCCATGTTTTCTCTTTCCTTCTGGTGTCCATGTGAGAGCTGTTTTGGTATATCAGGATTCATTCTCATAACGTGGCCAAGCCATTTCCATCTTCTCTTGGTTATCATACTGTCTAAAGTTTCTTGGTTTGTGACTTGAAGTAGTTTAGTGTTTGAGATTGTGTCTGGTCAGAAAATGTTGATAATTCTACGTAGACATGTGTGGTGGAAGGTGGACAGCTTGTGTGCATCCTTTTTGGTCATTCTGGTTAGAACAATGATTAACTTATTTCCACTATTCAGCAGCTGCTGCAACTGAAAGGGTTTCAGCCATATATGAAAAGCTTACCTGGAGTTATCTTGATATGCTCTTTAACTGTTTGGTTTCTACTCCTGTGATCTCTGTTTGCTGCAGCCACAGACAGTTGGGCCTGAAACTGTTCCTCTTCTTCCAGTTTGTCTTGTATCAGTACCTTCAACACGGAGATAAGTGAAACACGAAGTGTCATGAAACATTATAATTTCAACAGGAAGATTATTAAATCATGAAGTGTCGTGAAAAAAATATAAATTAAAACACTGCAACAGGGAGATAAATGAATCATGAAGTTTCCTGAACAAATATAAATCTAAACACTGCAACAGGGAGATAAATGAATCATGAAGTTTCCTGAACAAATATAAATCTAAACACTGCAACAGGGAGATAAATGAATCATGAAGTGCCCAGAAAAAATATAAATCTAAACACTGCAACAGGGAGATAAAATGAATCATGAAGTTTCCTGAACAAATATAAATCTAAACACTGCAACAGGGAGATAAATGAATCATGAAGTGCCCAGAAAAAATATAAATCTAAACACTGCAACAGGGAGATAAAATGAATCATGAAGTTTCCTGAACAAATATAAATCTAAACACTGCAACAGGGAGATAAATGAATCATGAAGTGCCCAGAAAAAATATAAATCTAAACACTGCAACAGGGAGATAAATGAATCATGAAGTGCCCAGAAAAAATATAAATCTAAACACTGCAACAGGGAGATAAAATGAATCATGAAGTTTCCTGAACAAATATAAATCTAAACACTGCAACAGGGAGATAAATGAATCATGAAGTGCCCAGAAAAATATAAATCTAAACACCACAACAGGGAGATAATGAATCATGAAGTTTCCTGAACAAATATAAATCTAAACACTGCAACAAAGAGATAAATGAATCAAGAAGTGCTCAGAAAAAAATATAAATCTAAACACTGCAACAGAGAGATAAATGAATCAAGAAGTGTCCAGAAAAAATATAAATCTAAACATTACAGAGAGATAACTGAATCCCGATGTGACATGTAAAATATAAACCGAAACATGGAGACAAATAAACACACCCACAAACGAACGTTGCAACTATAAAGGCACCATGCTGATTTGATCCCACCACTTTCAGTTCTGCAGGTTTAGTGGCTACACAGCGGTGGTTCATAGTAAACAATTGTATATTTTTTCTTCTTCTGACAGTCCATGCTGTGTGACGATGGTAGTCATGTCTATCCACAGCCTTCTGTATCGTGTACTTTCAACCAACTCTGACACAGATGATCCTCCATACCATGATGTCAAATTGTCCAGCAACTTTTCTCTCTGTCTGCCTCTGCTTATCCTCTTCTCCAACTTTCCTACTATCACGATGTACTCCAGTTGTCTCCTCCTCATCACATGACCAAAGAAGGTAGATTGTCTCTTTCTGATGTGGGCGATCAGTTCTCTTGGCGAGTCAGTTTCTTTCAAGATATTCTCGTCACTCTTTTAATCTGTCCAGGGTATTCTCATCATTCGTCTATAAAACCCCATCTGCACAGCTTCTCAATAATTTTTCACTAATCTACCAACTGTCCAAAGTTCTCTTCCGTATATCAAGACAGGAATGATTAAAAAAAAGTTCTAGCCCAATGTAAATAAAGAAAACACAATTACCAGCGCACAATCTATCTGCTTTCTGGACCCTGAAAGTGTCACAGTTTTTGGATGGTCTGGGTTTGTGAAATTCTCGTTCCTGTCGATGACTATCTTGGCGCCACTAACGGATGTCAGTTCTCTGATAGTAACACCACCCTTGCCTGAAAATACAACTTCAGAAATTAACAGACCAATACACTACAGAAAAGTGTACTGAGTCTACTCAAACATATCATTTTAGTAAGTTGTGTATACTTTACAGGACATTGCAGAACCAACGCCAGCATTTTCTGGCTGTTGTGGTTTGTCTAGGCAAACTGACGTCCAGCAGTTTGTCATTGTTTTCTGGACGGAGGGCTCTTGGTAGCTCTGTCAAAACCAACACAAAACAAACCGTCCGCAGCTGGTATCGAACCCGGCACTACGAAGCGCATTTGCAACGCTTAAGCCACAGACAAACATATCAGCAACTCATAATCCCTATGTTGATTCTGGGGCCCCAGTTTTTGTGGACAAAATAAAACCACCTGCTCCCTGAAAAAATGTCATAAAAGATGAGTGACTAATCAGGGATTTGCTGGACTTAAATGTGTAGATATCGCAGCTCTGCTGTAAACTACAAGAGAACATGCCAATTCCCCTTTCAAGGGCAAATGCAGAAGCAGAATTAATGACATATAAGAAAGAGAAAGTCAAGGTAGCAGCACAATGAATAGATGTTTGCTCACTAGCCTAAAGGTTTTATGTTCAAATTACCACTGAGAAATTTCACAAATAATGTGAGCTTGAAGTCAAGCCATTCTAAAATTGGCATCTGGGAATGTCCCGGGAAGCAAAACTGTCTGGCATGATATCAGCATCATATGCCAAATGGTCTATAAAAATATGAAGCTAGCACCATATGCTAAATTTCCCTTTGTGGATTCCGGAGTCCCTTTGTGGATTCTGGGGCCTCTTTGTGGGGAAAACAAGAATACATCCACTGCATCTCCATAAGCATATCGTAAGAGTCACCTAATTGGGGGCTTTCTTCCAAGTCGGAGTGCAATCCGTCCAAGTGGCAAGAAACAACTAACTGTTCATAAATATGCTAGTAAAACAGATGTACACACAAAACTCAGCCCTATCACAAAGCCAAAGTCAAATGTGTGACGACACACCCGGTAACTTCAGAACGTGTCTTTCCCAAACTTAATTTTTTCTATGTGTTTCAAGTAATAGAGAAAATTTGTTCCTAACAGAATGGCTCAATTTTCCTTTGACTATAGCTGAAGTCGGCTCTGTGGCTAAGTTGATGCGAACGCTTCGTAATGCCAGGATGCCGGGTTCGATCCCAGCTGCGGGCCACATGCCTTGCGCTGGCTTCGACAGTGGTATCAAGAAAGCCGACCGTCCAGAAAGCAATGGCAAACTACTGGACGTAAATTTGCCTAGAGAAACCATACAACAGCCAGGGGCTGTTAGGGTTGGTTTGGTTCTGCAACGTCCTGTAAAGGATAGGCAACTAACCTTTTTTATAGTTGAAGTCAAACATCAGTACCAGTGCCCAGTGGTTAGGTGTCAATAATCCAGATAACACTGACTAGGCAGACTGTGTGGCAGCAGTGGAGTGGAATGTATGGACACTTATCTTGAGGTGTCAGACCCTTAGGGGCAGGTGACTTTGATAAAAGTAATTACCCCCCCCCCCCCCCCTTTTTCCATGATTACCCTACTTGAGTGTAAGTCAGATAGCTGGTGTTTACACTTGTCTGATGGAGGTGTTAGCAGACTACCTTGGAGCAGGTGTCAGAGCATTTGACAGACTGGAGAGAAAAGGAAGGTGTAACTTTGATTATGGTCATACAAAGCTCCGGCCAGCTAGATGAACCACTTACAAACAAGTGTTCGAGCCTTCCTGACTGACAGGCATTTACTGAAAGCACTATGCAGGGGGAGGAGCTTTGACATCCTTGGAATGAGAGAGGTTCAGGAAGAGAAAGAGGAGGAGCTTAGGAGAAGTTTTTAAAAGTATGGACAGTAGGGCTGGGAAACTAAGACTCTTGCCAGCAGGCCACTACTGTCTAAGCCTTGGGACAGAACCTTGTGACCTGGTGGTCTGATTTTCCAGTTTCCACATGGGGTATGGACTAGTCGGCATCTATTCTTTGCAAACAGTCTGAGTGTAACGATAAATATTACTAGAACCATTAATCATCATCATCATAAACCTCTTTTGCCGTTAAGCGTTGTGGGGAGGAATAATTTGTGATCCAGTGCACGTTGGCTGCCACTGGCTATTGTCATGCCGTGAAGGCGTAGTGTGTCTTTAATGTTGTCGATCCATATTTCCATGGTTGTCCTCTTGCTCTTGTAGTTGATCTTCTGAGATGTAGTGCTTGTGATGGTATTTGATCTTGCTGCATTCTAACGAAATGGCCAAACCACTTGATCTGCTGTTTCTCAATGAATCTAGTACAAGGTGTCATTCCCACAACTAGAACAAGTTAATTAATACAAGTTTAAAAAAACTCTGAAGCTAAATGGACCGCCTTACCCGTCTATCTTAATGTATGCTTTTAGAACAGGGATAGAAAATGTTCAGCCTGGGAGCTTTACAGGGTCTGCAAAATAATCCGATCTGATTTACGAAAACCAGCTACAATGGAATGTTTGACCAAACACAGCAGCTCATTTTCAAGTTGATAATTTTGTAAGGCTCTCAAATGATGCTACAAATATCCAAATTTCCCTTGGAAGAGAAAAGTGTCCTGCCCTAGTTTTAAAGAGGAACCTTTAACCCTCTGGAGATGACGCAGCCAAAATATCGGCCCAACACAAAGTAGCCGAAAGGACAACTTGGCAGATTGGTCGGCCCTGTGTAATACAAGCCTTGAAACTGGCTAGCAGTCAGATTGCTTCTCGCATTTCTTGCACATGTGGGCTGTTTGATGACAGGCTTTCCAGAAAGTCTGACATGTTCTGAGATTTTACAGCAATTTTTGTTAGTGGAGTTACCTGTGCCCATTGATGGCGAAAAGGCCTGTTGCGTCATAGCAATCGAAACATAGCAGAAGGAATGAAACTGAGTAAAACCATGAGCCAGAAGTGTCTGAACAGCCTTCATGAGCCTTATTTCCCCAAAATACATGTCTTAGGATCTATTCAACCTTGATCCATAAAAAAATTTACCCAGATTTTTTTTCACGTTAGTCGCGTTTGTTCCCAAGTTTAAAAAAAAAATCTTGCATAAATTATGCAAATCATAATAGTTAATTTGAAATAAATGTTGAGATTTCAGTTTGATTCATACATCTTCTGTTAGCTCATTCAATTTCCTACCCAAATGTATATAGTTATATAGATGTTCATTGCGGGCTTTATTTTTTTTTTAATTTTGTGTGTGCAAACTTAGAGAATCCTCCCCTGAAACTCCAAAATAGGTTCCGTCTCCGAAGGGTGCTCATGTGAAATGTTTAATTAAAGGAATTTTGTTCTGACAGAGGTCAGAACTCAAAGACAGCTCATCACAAACATCAGAAAGAGACCATCATCCCTTTTTTTTTATGTTGTCATGGTATGAGAAGATGGAAACTGAAAGATCAACTAGAAAAAAAAAATACAGAAAGATAACGCAATAAGATTCTTCAGTCTTTTTTTCATGGCATGGAGGGGTGTCAGCATATGAACGGATACATGCTGTTGTAGACAGCAGATTGTGGAGAGGCATGCCTGACGATGCCAGCTGGCAGGTTACTTGATGATGATAATTTTGTTTATGTGGTCAAGGCTGAAGAAGAACTTCTCTAACATCAACATAAATAAACAGCAAACCAACCAATGATCCGACCAATGGCATAGCGAGGCACCTCAATCTCTTCAGTCAGAACTGTGGGCGTCTCTGCAATGACCTGATTAATGTTAAACAAACAACAAATGTTCACAAATTGCTAGTATGTAACAGATAGATACAGTATCAATGCTAAATTTTGACATCTGTTGCTTAGATGTTGCAAACGTGTCATAAGTCCAAAATACATAGTCTGATTCAGCTATAGGCAATTTGGCAGCAAACCGCTTTGTGCTGATTTTGACAATGGTATGGAGCACCAAACTTTTAGAAAGAAATGGCAAACTGCTAAACAGTAAATTGCCTAGTAAACCCATAAAAGGCCAAAAATGCTGAGATTAATTCTGCAATGCATTTGAAGGAAATGCGACTAACTTTTCCCAAATGCTAAAGCCAAAGATACAATCTAAAGCAAAATAAATGTCTCTGTCAGATCATAATGAGCACCAGCCAGTAACTAACTCATGTAGTGTTCCTATTTTCTGCTGTTTTTTTCCCTCTATTGCCTTTTAGCGTGAGGTTTTAAAGATACATCGGGTGAGAGCCTTGGAATGCGCTACGTAAATGCTAGTATTTAGGGTCCCAGATATTCCATCTATCCACCACATGTGTAATAAGTCGACCTCTGACTCTGCTCCCGTTGTGTCAGGGGTGTATTTTTGGTGATAAGTCTTGACAGATGTTCAAAACCATTTGATCTGTTGTCTCTTGATTTAGTTTCTTTTCTTCTTCTTCATCTTCTTGTTCACTGGCTGCATAGCAGAAGGCATGAAAATAAGTAGAACCATGTGCCAGAAGTGTCTGAACAGCCTCCATGGGCCTTATTTCCCAAAAACACAAGTGTTAGGACTTATTCAACCTTCATACTCTTGGTTCCTTGCCTCTCAGGCAGATGCACTCCAACTTTGAAGGAAGCTCCAAATTAGTCAACTCTTACGACATGTTTTTGGGTAGGCAGTGGGTCTGTTCTTGTTTTCCCTATAATAGGGCCCCAGAACACACACAGGGATTGATTTAGTGTAATACTGGTTGTGTCCCAACTTTTTTCCTGGCATCGTCATTTCTGATCCTGTCTCTATAAGTCACATTTAGGACTGCTTTATTTTCTGCTATTTCTTAAAATTTCATTTTGTGAATTTCCTAAATAATTCCTCTTTTTTCTCCTTTTATCCCCTGTAGAAGTTACTGGAAGGTAAAGTAGCGATATCAACTAAGCTTACCCATGTGGGTTCCAAGACCCTAGTTTAAAAGGGGGGCGGGGAGGGTATAGACCCACTGTCCCTTAATAAGCATCTGTAATGGGCAAATAATTAAGGACTTGCTGAAACTAAATATGTTTAACCGAAAGGTGCATATATCACAGCCTAGCTGTGAACAACATAATGTGCCAGCTGCCCTTTTAAGAGTGAATGTGGAAGAAGAAGACAAGAAGATGACTCAAGCTGATGACAGCACCCACTGAATGCCATTTGCTCAAGAAATTTGGACCTGTGACAATATCCTCCGTATGACATAGTTCTTTAACTATACATACACACAGAAGGAGGAAGGCAGATACATCTGAACCTTTAGCTACAGCATAAAATGTCAACACTGCAATAAACATAATACTGGCCACTAAGTCCTTACCTGATGTACCAACAACTCAGCCTGGTGGGCAGACTCCGGTGTTCCTTGAATGACAAGAATCCGTGAAGAGTTGTTGGAACTATCCCCACTTCCAGCCTGGCCGTTTCCCTTGCCTTGGAAATGCATCCAAGCCCCAGTCTCTTTCTGAATCTGTTTAAGATTTAAACTTAGAAGAGATCATGTGAGAAATGAAGAAATTACAAGAATCTGGAAAAAATGTCCAAAGGAAGCTAACTACAGGAGACCTCTGAAGCGATGCTTGCCACTCTGCATGGGCATTCCTGTTTCTGCCTTTCTCAACATGCTCTTTGAGTTCGTTACAATCACGAAATGTGTATACAGCTTCTTCTTCTTCTTCGATCCTTCTGTCAGAAAACTTATATCAGGAGGCAGGTAGCCTTTATGAAAGCTATCGTGCAATCCATATCCTCTCGTGTACCATACAGTTTTGTCTTCAGTGTGGTTGGAACAGGCCAGATTGTGTCTCTGTTGTCAGCATACAGTTGACAGTGTTGGAGCACATGCTCAGCATTTTCGGGTGCCACGCTGCAGGGACACGTCTCCATATTTCCTACACCGACAAATTTGAACATATGTTGACGAAATCTGTTGTGCCCTGTAGGGCTGTACCGAATAGTGATTTTCACTATTCGGCCGAATACGAATAGCTGGACCAACTATTCGGCTGAATACGAATAGTGAATCATCATCATCATGTGCTTTGCCGGCTGGCATGGGCGATTATGCCTCGCCACAATCTGCTATCTCCTGCAGCACGTATTAGTTCGTGTGCTGACACACCTCTATAAAAAACCTTCGTTTTATGTTGTCAGCATTAGGCCAGCTTTTTGTCTCACTGAAGGTATTTCCAGCTGTACTAAACAGGAAAATACGACAAATACAGAGAGTCAAAATGAAAACCTGCAAGGCGAAACATCAAAAACAAAAATAACGCCGACGAAGAAAACAATGCCGTCCTTACAAGTCGCCCAGCCCCCCGCGAGCTCACGAAACCAGACGCCGGGCGGCCAACGCCAGAAGATCAAACAACAAAGACAATCAAGAAACCGAACGTCGATCAAAACATTCAGCCGCTGCCGTTTCCACGAGACGACGAAAGAACAGATACGACACCCATAAATGATGACGAAATCCCGTTACTTCAAAGAATCAACGAAGAGGACACTCCACTCAAAGAAATCAAGCCGACAACACTACTCGCAACACATGCAAGATGGAAATAAAGGGGCACTTGGTACGCTCGTAGGTGGTGCACAAAGATAACGCTTCACAGTATAAACCAAGGTGGGAAGTCTTGATGTTTTTTTTTCCACCAGTCCAGAAACGGTTGTGAGGTAACCACTATTCGTATTCGGCCCGACCGCAACTATTCGGCCGAATACCGAATAGTTATTGGGTCCACTATTCGGCCCCGAAGCGAATACGAAGCGAATATTCGGTACAGCCCTAGTGCCCTGTCCTTAGTCTGAATATAATACACTGTCCCTCTCTAGAGAGGCGATGAAGTGAGTCTTGGGGAGAAAATCTGGTGTGCTGATTCTCAAGCCAGTGGAAGGCAGCAGTGACTGCCTCCACCATCATCTTAAAGCTAGACATGACATTTTATGCCAGGCTTTGCTGCACTAAGCTACGTCCACTCACTTTTTTTGGGTGCTATGTACCTCCATGCCCTTCGTCTGCCTCTCAATACAGAGGTATCTGTATAGATTATCACATCACTTGGGTGGGAATCCTAGTCATGAATCAGCACCACTGATCACCTGTAAACCCACAATGCCCAGCAGCACAAAGCCGAATAAGGACAAAAACCAAAGAAATGTAACTGAGAAAAGTTTAAGAATGTAAGTGGTTCATTAGAAACAATAGCCCTTTGGAGAGCAAAGAGAGCATTACTGTCTAATGAGAATGGTGATGGAGGGAGTTACCAGAGAATTGGCCGATGATCAACACTCAAAGGAAAGGCAAGATAGACGTACAATCAGACAGTTACTGGTACTATAGGAATTGGAACTCTTCGCTCGCTGCTGAAGATGGGAATGGAGCACTTACGGGAGTATCCCGAGTGCTATGATGTGGATTCTCAATTCAACTTTCAACATTAGAAATAATTTATCTGTGACAAAGTAAGTAACCTAACCGTAAAACCTGGTCAAGCCTATTTAGTGTCTTCAAAGTCAGGATAGGAGAAATTATAACCAACTTCTTTTGGGTATATGGCAATAGTCAGTCAGGTTTTGCCATGTAACAAGATTGGCACCAGACAGGGCACCACAGACAGCAATGTTATTCAGATACAATGGTAAAAGAACCAGAGGTTGACCACACAGAAAATGGACCACAGAAAAATCAGATACTGAAAAGTACTTTATATGAAGCAAACAGAAGGGTCAGTTTTGGAGATCTCTTCCTACTCTGACGGTGCAAGACATTCCAGGAGTAGGGAAGAGAAGAAGAAGAAGTCAGTACAGGTATTTTGGGATGGATGATGCATTGAAAGACTGATCACGCATAGGAATGCCTAATGTACAGTATCATCGATCGTGATAATATAACCAAGCTATATGGACACCTAACAAGAATGACCTGGTAATATCTACCACAGCAAGCCACACCAAATGTTACAACGGGTATAGAGTGAGTGGAAGACCTAGGAAAAATTTGGAGTGATGGCATTAAGAACAGCCTTACAGAAATGAACATCGGTCTTAATAGTGATCTTGACAGAGCTCATTAACAAATATTACATCTCCCCCCGACACTTCGATGAGGTACAAGGTGGAAGAGAAGAAGAAGAAAATAATATAACCAGATAAAAACAACTTTACAGGTCACTGAGTGAATTACAACAGACAGTCAAGTTCATACTAGAGACAACACTACAGACACACATAATCTATTTCAAGCGAACAAAAGAAAAAGAAGCTAAAAATGACCACACTGTCGAGGGAAATAACTAAAACACCTCTCACAAAGAACGTACAATAAAAGAACCATGACTGACCTGCTTAATGTTTGCCCCATGCCGACCTATGACCGCCCCAATAGCTCGCTGGGGAACTTCCACTTCAATCGTGGTGTTCCTGGATGTCACTACACGTTTTCCATAAGCTTCTTCATCTGAAAGAAAAGAAAAGGGATACCCATAGAAGAAACATGTTTATTTTCAAACTTGAATTTTTTTTTTTTTTTTATATATACGATCTTTCAGATGCAAGCAATGTGTAATAAATCATGGACGAATCAGGGTGTCACCACTTAAAGTCAAGCTGCAAAAGAGAGAGCGTGCAGTGGAAAAATGTTGGATCAAAAAAGCCAAACACTTTACTGAGTCACTGAGAAAGCATGCTTAGGTAAAAGTATGCTCTGATTAACTCATATTTTTGAGAAAGTAAAAGTTACTGTAATGTGGTTTCTCTTAATTGCACCCCACTCCAAGTTGTGGAGTCGTACATGTATATGGGCAGTAATGTAGATAAAGATGGAGGAACTGATAGAGATATTAAGAATACAAAAGGCAAGAGGGGAATTTGTGGAGGTCAAAAGAAATTAAAAGAAATACTAAACTAAATTCTAATGTCAAATCAGTACTTTTTGTATAGGGTGGAAACATGGAGAACAACTAAGGCAATTACTAATAAAATACAGACATCCATAACTGGTGCCTGCGCAGAATAGATGGAATTAAATGGTGTGAAAGAATAACTAATGTACAGCTTTGGGAAAGAACTAAACAGGCTCCAGTGGACCAAAAGGTGAGGAAAAGACGCTGGCGTTGGACAGGACACGCACTGAGAAAACAGGAGAACAGCATAACTAGAATGTCTTTGCATTGGAACCCACAGGGGCATAGGAATAAAGGAAGGCCAAAATACATATGGAGAAGAGAGCTGGAGAATGAAGTTAGAAAGATGGGAAGGACATGGGGAGAGCTCTATGTAAAGGCGAAGGATAGAGCCACTTGGCGTGAGTTGGTTGAGGGCCTATGCTCCATTGGGGGATAGGAAGGCAGAAGAAGAATAAGAAGAAGAAAAGTTACTGAAAAAAAAGTAAAGGACCCTTTTCCCCACCTTCAGGCGTATTGAGCATAGGGGATTAGACCTATGTTTTACAAACCAATCAGCACCGGGTGGGTCATGTGATCAACATCACAGCCGAGCGCCTTTACTTCCCAGGACTCTACCTGGTACCCAATCGGGGCTGGGTCGACCTGGGAGCCTAAAAAAAATTTTTAAAAAAAAGTTTTTCTTTGCCACGACCCTGAACCACGACCCTGATCCGCGACCCTCCGATCTGCAGGCAAGTGTCTAGCCGACACACCATGGCAGCTTTCTTTTGAGAAAGAGCCACTTAAACATTAAATAATATGTTTTTTTTTTTTAAACTTTAACGGCTGATCATAGAATAATTTAACTTAGGCATGCTTTGTCAGCGACTCAATGAGTATGCTCAGAAAGACGGAGATGGTCTGGGCATGAAGACAATGTGCAGAGTCTCTGGGGCTCTCTCGCCAGATGAAAATCAAATTTGTGTTTTTGTGTGTGTGTGTCCAGGACAAGCAGGTGCAAAAAGGAAACAAATAAGCTGATAGGCTTACAGATGGGCTACTGTGGAAGAGAAATGAGCCTAGCTGATACATTACATACTGACGGGATTAAAAACTCCAGCCACATACAAACAGTAACATAAAACAACACACAAAGAGACAAGTACTCTGGTATAAACATTAATCGCTTCAACATACTAAAAGAAAAAATACAATCTGGAAATAAGATATGAATAAAAGAAATAATCAAAATCAAGAACTGACATCCCTGGCCTTTAGACATTCCCATATGTGCTCCGATCCGTGCCTCAGAAGCCAACGAAGAGTTGTCATTATGATGGTGGAAATGGCCATAAGATAAACTATGCCCTATATCTGCTAAAATCAAATGCCTTATCTGGCAACACCAAGATCACAATATATAAAACACAGATAACACCAATTGTTGTAAATGGCTCTGAAACCTGGTATACAATTAAACAGATAAAGCCTTATTACAAACATTGGAGAACAGATTCTTATAATGAATCTTCAGACCCATCAAGGATACAAACAGCAGAGAATATAAAGTGAGAAACAACAAAAA